TTCATAGACCTTTATTCTTCCAGAAACTCTTTTTAAATCAAAGGTGAAAAGAACAAGGCCTAATAATTATTCATTGGCGGTCACCGACCTCCACTGTAGCACAGCATTAAAAAATAAAAATAAACAGTTGACTTAAGGTGTCGTTATGGTCAAGAATAGAACATTACACAGACCCCGGATGCCTTCTACAACAAGGGACTATTAAGAAAATCTATTAGTTGGAAAAAATCCTTTTCAAAAACTAAAAGATATCCCAGAACTCTATACAGAAATACAGAATTACAGCTTGCATGGCATGGCCTCTGTCAGTTTCAGAGAGTTTGGACCAAAAAATGAGATTTTGCCAACATCATTTTGAAAGCCTGTCCTCAAAAATTGATTTCTCACAATACAAAACCAGAAATTTAATTGACAATGTCATTCGTGTGTAAAGTGTACTCGTTTAAAATTGGTGGAAAGCTGAGCTTAGAAGTCTACCCACAATTACACTATTGCATAAGCAACCCAACTTAGTTATATTACCATGTAATAATTTTGTAAGCTACCACCTCGTTGAAAAAAGCGAGCAACTGCAAATGCCAGGTCTTGAACAGGCCTATGAGGTACACTTCCACCCCACTTAGTGTACCTACAAACAATTTAAATGAGGATATAATACAAGCACATAGGAAATCATTAGATATAGCAGTAAAAAACTTAATCCCACTTCATTTTCCCTTCAAGGTCTCAACAAATTTTATATAGCAACATACTGACAAACCAGGAGGAATAAGGATCATTAGCTGACCAGATGGCAAGTTGAAGGCACAGAACCTATTTTCTTTACTTTCTTTATTTGACGACAAAATATTTTATCAAAATAGAAGTATAGAAAATAGATCAATACAGCTGGAGGACAAGTTGTCCTCACAAGGATTCTCCCAAAAAAAAGAACAAACACATGTTTGCTCAGTTCCTATGATTGTATCCCGTCTCTATTGAACAATTTTGAAAGTCCTAGGCGCTTCAGCTAATAAAGACACCAGGAAAGTGACTTTATCCGATGGTAAATCGCAGGAAACAGCAGCGCCTCTAAAAATAAGGCTATTTCTCACATAACTTATCTCCCCTACAACTATTGATTATCCGGTGAAAGTTTGGTTGGTTATCATTGGTCATCACCCCCATAAATAATGCAAGGTGGAAGGGAGAGATAGGGAGGGAAGGGGTCAATGGCAGTGGGCCACAGTAAGAGGAAAGAGATTGTGGGAAGGGGGGCGTGAAGGATGGGTACCTCTAGTTTTGACCCATTTTCAAATGGGGGTTGGGACAAGATGGTTTTGCTCGGGATTCTTACCCGGTATGTCTCAAAACTAGCGCTTATGGTCAGAAAATTGGAAAGGAGGAAAAACAAATAGGAACAAAGAGGCAATCATTGTGAACAAATCTGTGACTTGGTTTTATATTCCACTTATCAACAAAACTCAACATTACATACGCCAACTTTTATCTAAAACAAGCTCAGCTTGTTTAACTTACTTAGCTTCCTTGTAAATCATAACTCATGATGTCAGTGCATAAAATCTTTCCCATCAGTCAATATTCAGTCACTAATAAATAATATACTAAATTCACACAGTTGCTATACTTGTTATTGAAGAATGAACTAAAAGTCATACAGCCAGAGACATACCATCCATCCCAGTCCTCAGTCCAAAAAACAGGCTTCTTGTTGGAATTTGGCTTAAAGCCATCACAATAGTAGCCATTGCAAGTATCAATCTGGGTTTTGGTTGAACATAAAATCTCATGATTAGTGTTGAAGCAGGATTGCACAGCACATATTTCACAGGTAAAATAACCAAACAGAATCATAAATTTACTTAGTGCTTGCAAAACTTTGATTAAACTTAAAAGTTCAGACAAACAATAGCAGTAATGTACACACACAAATCTCAAAAAAAAATAAAAAGGGGGGATGCATGCACTAAATGGTGATAATGAACTTACAATGAATTCAGGTGCATCAGTTTGTTTGCACATTACCCATGGGACACCAGCACCAAGCCCAACAGCCATGTTAGCAGCCCAGTTAATATAGTCCCGTCCTTTTTTACCATATGAGTTTTCAACATCTCCATATTCATTCTCAATCTGATAGATAGACAATCAAGAAATAATCTTTTAAAAGACACTGCAATGCAAGGGTTGAGAGAGAGAGATCAATCAATTTAAAATAAACTCCAACATAAAATACACAATTTTTATCACCCAACCATATATAGCAGGAGCCAAGTCTATTACTCATGTTAGCCGACCCCATCATTTTGGGATTAAAGCATTATTGTTGCTGCTGTTTGGGGTGGGGGGGTCTTTGTGCAGAAGTATGTAAACATAGATAAGGAAACTGGTATACTACTTCAACATGAAACTGAAAAATCACTCAACCTGCAATAGTATTAGTGGCCCTCCTTGCCAAGAGAACAGACTCTCCTCCCGCATTAAGTTTACAATCTTTGTAACAAACCGTTGCATCTCCTCCTGAAGAAACATGCAATCAAAATTATTCAGGAAATTTGATATGCAGCAGATGACTATTAATGAGCATATTTACCCCATTTTTCTTTGAGAGGTGAGAGAGACTACATAACACAGTAACGCTTACCTTAAAAGGTGCATTATCTGTTCGAAATTCAATACCAGGAATATCTCGCAGCCACACAGGAAAGCCACTGTTAAACAACAAACCAATTAGCCAGAAAGCAAATAATTAGTAGTGAAGTGACAAATAACATCAATAATATATTCACTCACTAGAAATTACAGAATAACATATAGCCTAAAATCATAAAACAGCGAACAAATTTACATGAAAGCATCAAATAACAAAAGAAATGAAAAGGAGTATACCCAAAGTTCCACTCTGCACACACATAAGGTCCTATCCTAAGGAAGAAATAGAGTCCATTCGACCCGACTAGCTTCGCAAACTTGACGAGGTCAAATCTCCCTTCAAAATTATACTACAATTACGATCAACATACAAAATTAAACATGAATTCATAACCAAATCATACTAAAAAATTTCAAAAACTCAAACATGAAAAAAATCACCCCTAACCTCTCCTCTCACAGGCTCATGTCCATTCCAAAATGTGTATGTTTCAATCACTTCAGCACCTCCTTCCTTTGCCTTTGCAATCAAATCAGGCCACATCTATATAACATAATATTATGAAACCAAATCAAAAATTGAAAGTAATTTTGAATAAAATTGGATGATTACAGTAATCAAAGTTCAGAATTAGGAAGATTAATAGTAGAAGAAGAAGAAAAGAGACCTGAGGAGTGGCGCGAGGGTAGTGAATGCCGGCGGAGATTAGCATGCGACGGCGGCCGGCGATGATAAGTGATCGGTGATCATAAGTGACGTTGAATGGCTCGAAGAAGAGCTTTCCGACGCCGAATTCCGCCATTGATAGAAGCAGGAAGAGCAAACGCCATTGTTGTGAAATTAGAGGTTTCTTCATTTCAACCTCTTCTTGCAGCTCAAGATAGGAGATAGAAATTAAGTACTCAGTATTAATAGCATCAAATGAATTTGGATTAAGACGGCTTAACTAGTGATTTGGCACGTAATCTTAGGACATTAAAATTTAAATTAATCATACTACGCAATTTTTTTTTAAAACGACTTACACAGTTCAATAAAATTAATTTCAATTCAGTAAAAATAATTTCACTTCAGTAAAATAAGGTCAGTTCAGTAAAATTCATTTTCTTAAAGAATAATTATAATAGAAAATCAGTAAAAATAATTTCAGTTCAGTAAAATTAATTGAAGTTCAGTAAAAATAATTTAAGTTCGGCAAAAATAATTTCAGTTCTATATAAATAATCTCAGTTCAGCAAAATTAAGTTGAAGAGAACAGGGCCTTAAACGAGTATGTGGTTAATGTCGTTTACTGTCTTTAGCTCATTTGGTAAGAGACTTATTTACTCTGTAATATTTTTAATTAAAGATTGCTTTATTGAGTCGGAATTAATCATGATTATATTAATAAATCTTGTATAAATCATCACAATTAAAAACTAAGTAAATTATTCTCCCTTTAATTATAGAAATTTTGTTAATGGTTGGATTTTCTTGGCCAATTAACAAGATTAGTAAATAAAAAAGACCCTTAATGACAATTTGATTAAAGAAAAAAATTACTCTAGTGCAATTTTATTATAAAAACTAACCCCAAACGACAATTAGGTAAAAAAAAAAACACATAAATTTCCGTCAACCTACTCGTGAAAGCTTAATTTAGTTCATTTTCAATGGTTTTTTGTTTTCAAATATAATTTTCCAACTAAATTTAACAACCTTATTTAAGGAAATTACAATTTGAAGAAAAAAATGGTTATAAGTATGAATTTTCACTTCATTTTCCTAGCCCTTTTTCATAAAATATTTTTGAAAAAGGGGTTGGAAATAAATTTGGTATCGAATTTAACAAATTTTTGTGGGAAAAATAAATTTTAAAAACCCAAAAACGAAATAAATTAGAGTTTTAAAAGTGTTTGTCGGAAAAAAAAAATAGAAATTTTGGTCTAAATGTCATCTGAAATAAATGTTTTTACCAAATTGTCGTACATGGTGCTTTTTTTTTTACAAAATTATCATCGGGGTAAGTTTTTTTTACCAAACTGCCACAAGGGGTCTTTTCTTACATTCATTTTAGAAATTATTTTCTTAAATGGTCAATTTGTTTTTCACATATGGTTTCTATCATGGGATTGTATATGAATTATTCTCTCTTTTCATAGATTGTTTTCTAGTAAAATAGTAGGCGTAGCTATGCTTTATTTTTATTTTTTTATGACTAGAAATAGTTGAGCACAAAAAAAAATTTAAAAAAAATATTGGGTGTACAATAATTATTGTACATGTACCGTTGAAATGATTATTGTAAATAAAGTTATTTTAAAATGATCAAAATTATCCTTGAAATGAATAAAAGTTACTCAATATTACAAATAAAAGTTATCAATGGTTTTTTAATAAGTAAGATACTTTAAATGACTTGAAATCAAATCTTAGTAATTATTAAAAGTAATTCCATTACCCTTATAAAACATATCCCGTTGTCTATTTACAATAAAATCATATTAGATTTAAAATTACCCATTATCTTAAATTGGCTAAAAGTTACCCTAATATTGTTCGGTGTACACCAACATTATTGTCATGCAGGTCGCCTAGGTTCAAGTTTAGGGTCGTGTTGTTGAATAATCAAAATTGAGGCGGTAGTAGAAAAATTAGGTCCAGATAAAATATCTCCTAAAGGCCCTAATTCTGGACATTGCTCCCAATCATTCATCCCCATTGTCAACATTGAATTGACCCGACCTCCTCGGCCCACAATGAAAAGTCCATATTGCCCTTCAATTGATTGTAATGTAGTGAAGGCTTGTGCTGAATTCACCAAATGTTTCTCAAGGTATGACACATTTCCTCCTGCAACATGCTTCTCATAAAATTTTGCAAAGCATTCATCATCAAGCTCCATCTCTTGTTCTTGTTGATATGTTTTTCTCGTATTATTATTATTATTCTCTACATCAGTATCTACTAGAAATCTCATGACTGTCAGCTTCACTCCACGCCGGTAAGCGATACGTCCTGCATAGGCTAGTGCTTCTCTATCATCTTTGCCTCCAATAAATATAACGACAGTATTCAAAGTGCTACTTAATGACTTCAATATTTGGTTGCTTGCACCAAAACCTCGATCCACCATGATTGCTATAGAGCATGGGGCATTGCGAAGTACCTAATATATACTCCATCAGCAAAAGTGAAATAGGATTAACATATATTAACAAAGAAATCAAGCATTACCTTGCGATTAACATATCTAAATCCTGCAAGTTTGTAATCTGTATGTTGATCAATTGGAGGACTATTATGGAACGGAAGAACTATTAAGCTAATTATTGAATCCTCTGCTAAGTTGCAAATTTCTTGGTGCATGGTGTTGTAAGTGGCTAAGGCCATGGCTCTACGAAGGGTGATACCATCTCCGTAATTGTCAGTATACTCTTGTAGTGCAGTGGTGATTTGATCTCTGATTTGGATTACTTTTGAATCTGTCACCTCTACATCATCCATCTCTCCTGGAATTAATGTGTCAGCAATTTGGTCTGTGAGTTGTACAATGTCAGTAGCATATACTAATATGCCTGGGTCACCTGTCCCCTTGGAGATCTCCATGAAATTAATGGCACAAGGAACATTTTCGGGTCCATGGAAGCATAATAGGATTCGAAGCTCTTCACTAGGATTCTGCCATTGTAGTGCTAAAGGTTGCTTTGACAAGCGTAATCTAGCATGTTGAATGATGTATTGTGCCACCATTGGGATGTATACAATCTTAAGGAGCATTGCTAATAGCAACCCAATACACGTAGAATAAGTAATAATGTCTTTCTGCAAACACCCATTACATGAGAATTTATGTAATTCTTTTTCAACTATTCAATATAATTAATAAGGTCAAAGTTAATAACACATACCTTCATAGCAACAATAGTGAGATACATGTGTAAATGGCCTTTGACATTCAAAAGTGATGCAAGCATTATAGAATCACGCCATTGAATTCCAAAAAGAAACCCAGATAGAAGAGCACCAATGACTTTCCCAATTGTTCCGACAGCAAAAAAACCAAACAACTTTTCCCAAGAGCTTAATGTTCGAATTTCAAATCGATCAAATTGTGCTTCTGATCCAACCCACACAAAAAAGTATGGGAAAAACAAAAAAGTTAAGAGGTAATTCACTTTACTAACAATATACTGTGAAATTCTCCCTTGTCGCGGTAAAAACACTCCGGTAATAAAGGCACTAAGCACAGGACTAAAGCCGGTAAGTGGTGAAATGCAACCAACAAACACTGCAAATGCAACAGAGAGCACTAAATGTGAGCCTTTAAGTGTCTTTCCATAGGGGTTAGCATTATTAACCCAACTCAGAATAAGAGGTCCTGCCACTAATGTTATAATGATTTGTAACAACACTGACATAGCAAGAGGGACGAGTCTGGGACCATGTAGAAGATCATGTTTATCAGGCCTTTGAAGTATTCTTCTGCGTATTTGGAACCCACTTTCAGGCTGGAAGATGACATATCCAACGCAAATGAATAATATTGTTATCAACTCAGAGTAAACGGCTGCAGAAATGGCAAATTTGCCAATTTCGGATTTACCAATCTTAAGATCTGTAAGCACACGAGTTAATAATGGGGATCCTGTACTTGATAGGAGTATTGCCAAAGTAACATTAAATTCAATGTTTGAATTTATTGCATATTTTAGGATTGGAGTTAAGCTATACGTTAAAATAAATGTAAACAACATCCCGGTATATGCAACTACAGCCTCTCTTTTAGGTATGCGAAAAAGCACCATGGGATCCATCTCAAGCCCCAAAGCAAACATGTATAGCGTCATTCCAAAATCTGTTAAGAATCTCATGTTTTGCAATCCGTTACTTTCTGAACTCAATAGCTTTGTCCTCACAATATTTAAATTGCCTAAAATTAAACCCACCTGCGTTTTTTTCATATGCAAAATTATTTTATAAGTAATACAATTCTTATTCATATATATAATGATAGAGTATAAAACATATTCCTGAGCCTCAACCATCCGCTTAAGCTTTTGGTTGAGTTGGTCCTCTAATATACAAGACAAATAAATAGAAAAAAAGAGGAATAGATGAAGACATACAACAGTTTCTGAGATGATTCTAGGTTGCGAAAGAGGCTTCAAAGAGATATGTAATCCATGACAAAGTGCTAGCAAAAAGATGAAGCAAGTAATGGATGAAGCAACATTTGAAATTGTATCATTACAATTTGTGTTACTGTCATCCATTTTCTTTCGAGCCTTTCCTTAGCTTGTGTCTCTCAAATGTATACCATTTATCTTATACTTGCTTACCCAATAAACTTTTCAAAGAAGTGTAATGGCCAAATTAAATCATGTGTAATGTAAATGATTGGCTTTTTTGGATCATAAACGTACATAGAAATAGAAGATAGATATTCCTTCGTAATTTCGCCAACAATAATTGTAATTTTAATTTTAATCACCGAAAACAAGGAAATTAATTAAATACCCAATTAATAAAAAGTCGAGATTTTTGATAATATGAAAAGGTGAATCAAGAAGAAAGCAAAAAAATTGCTGCAGAATGCTCAAAAGGGTTAATAGAATATGAGAGATAAATGGGAAGAAGACAGAGAAACATTAAATGTGCAAGCTGTAAATCATCTTAGATTGTTTAGGCATGTTAATCATCCCAGATCAACAAATGTTTTGTTAATTATGTTTTAAGTTTTATATATAGGAGAATTTTACACGTGTAACTTACAAATACTTGATTTTATATGTCAAATTTTAACAACATGTTGTTAATTGCACAAAGTTCATTTAATTTATTTTTACCCTTTTTGTTGAGTTGGGCTTCTAACTAATTATCTCCTTGCTTCAAGTGCTTTTCTTGTAAGTAATTTGTATTAACGCTCTAACGCCTCTAAGGGTTTTATTCTGATAAGAACTAAACTCTAAAATGAGAATTTCGTGCATTTAAAGTAAAAAAGAATTTCTAAGTTCTTCTTATAATTCGAATGTGTAGATGTGTAATGTTTCATACGATCACACTTAAACTTGGAAAACAGGTCGTTCGGGTCAGGTCAATTTCAGGTCAGCAAATATTTGGGTCTGGTCGGGTCAATTTGGGTTTAAGGTCAAGTTTAGGTCTAGTCAAGTTCGAGTCAAGTCGAGTCAGTTTGGGTCGGGTGAATTTTTAGGACCACTTTTCGGGTTAAGTTTGGGTCGGGTTAATTTCGGGTTGAGTCAATTCGGGTCGGGCTAAGTTTGTGTCGGGTCACCAAATAAATTCTCTTACAAAAAATAGTTAGAAAAATAAAGTAAAATCGTGTGCCTATTACTTATTAGTTATTAGGAAAGAAAGAAGCCTTAAACTAAGTAATAAACCATTTCACCCTATTCACTTCAAGAATCAGGTCACTTCGGGTCGGGTCAGGTCGATTTGGGTCAATCAATTCGGGTTAAAATCAGGTTGTGTCACTTCGGGTCAGGTCAAGTTTGGGTTTCACGTCGAGTCATTTTGGGCATCGGGTCAACTCCATTTCAAGTCGGGTTCAAGTCAATTTTGGGTCACGTGTTGGATTATTCGGGTCGGGTCGTTATAGTCAGATCAGAATTGTCAGGTCTAGTAACACACTCACACTTGATAATGTGAAAAATTCAAGTGATTAATGTGGTCATTGATGGTAATTAAATGAGGACAATGTCACAAGTACTGTGCACCAGTCCAAAATCAAACTGGTACCGTAATAGACATGGAACAAAATGGTCAAAATCTACAAATCTTCTTGGAGCGAAGATTGGATACGGACATCTATATTTTAGACTAGCTCAACCTATTTAGATGTCTTGTGATTCTTCTTATCTAAACACAATTTTTTTTAAAATGTTGCTTGAATTTACTAAGACCTTTATGGTTTTAAGGAGCACTATTCAGTACACAGTATCCAAATGACAATATATTTGCTCAAATTAACTAACAAAGAATTTATAAATTCATATCCAAACAAATCAAAAATTGATCAATATGAAAAGAAAAAAAAGAAAAAAAAAAGATAAATATTGCCATCAAAAGTGAGTAATGTTAGGAGGATTAATATGCATAAATCAAGTTGCTTCAAACTCCACTTGATTGAAATCTTGCTACAAGCCTCCTATCATGCATAACCTCACATTTTCACATCTTTAAATAACATTGATTCAAACACTAATTTTGTTTAATCCATAAACTTACATTTGCCAGTCATAATCAAGAACAATGCTGGAGAGAAGGCTCTTCAAGTTTTGGTAGATGAACCCATATATTTAGGAACCAAAAGGCGTTTTGAAATACAGGCACATTCTAAAAAAGCAAATAAAGGAACCCATAAGAACATAGGCTACGGCTTAGCATTGCAACATCAAACAAAACTTCATATTTTTTTCTATTGAATACGTTCCTATCAAAAATGTCAGAGATCATCTACTTGAACAACTATGGAGCAAAATACAAATTAGATGATTCCAATCTTGTTTGCAACATCCAAGGCATCATAGTCAGGTGTCAAACGAACATACGCCTTCTTGGTGCCATCAGGCCTGCAAAAAGGAAATTAATCATAACAATTAGAATGACAGGAAACTTTCAGACTTACAGCAAACCCTAGTCAATGATGACAAGCTAAAAATCAGCAAGCAGAATAATAAAAACTACTAGTATGGCTTCCACTGATAAAAATCAGTGCCACAAGAAAATATATTTAACAGTATGCAAGTCTTTCAACCTTAAATAAACAAGACAATAGGTTATTTATGTAGAATAAATTTCTCAGTTACACACTTTTAACCTAACGAGTGAAGAGAGAATCAAAACATAATATTAAGGAAACACAGATAACAACATGAAGCAAAGAGAAGCAAGTTAATTAGCAGAAATGTTCACCTGATCAAGGTATTCACTTTCTTGGCCTGAATGTCATACATCTTCTTGACGGCGGCCTTAATCTTCTTCTTGTCAGAACGGATGTCAACAATAAAAACCAATGTGTTGTTGTCCTCAATCTTCTTCATTGCAGACTCAGTAGTCAAGGGATATTTAAGTATCCGGTAATGATCCAACTTATTTCTTGGTGTAGCACTAATACGAGGGTACTTAGGGTTTCTGTCCTTCTTCAATGTCTTTGGCCTATGGAAAGTAACCTTGGTCCTGATCTTCTTGGCCTTCTTCTTCAAGGTACTTGAGCCAGATTTCACAGCTTTAGCAGCTTTCAAGGCCTGTGCCTTGGGATCAGCCTTCTTTACATCTGCCGGATAAAAGATGTCAGGTATCCTTCTAGGTTTCAAAATGTAATACTTGCAATTTTATCACAGCTAAAAAGAATTTGTATTTTTGTAACACAACCAGAATTCTAGAAATGCAACACTGCAGCTGGCCGTAATAAAATAACTAAACAATTTGAAAACCGGAAAAAGGGATTTCATGAAAAACTAATAAATATAGCAGGGTTAATCAAGGAATTTTTTTTTGCATCACTTACTAACTGATTAAATCAATTATCAAACTATCGTCAGCCTAAACAAACACAATAAAGAATTAGATCCAATTGCATGACAGGAGAAAGCCATTGGCACAACTCTGAATCCTCTTACAGAACCAAGAGCGATACGCCTACACATAGCTAACCAACTCTCAATCAAGCAGAAGGGATTAAACCCGAATAATAGCAATTACCACGGCGATCTTATACTTGGTGTGGCAGAGCAATATTCAGTTTTCTGAACCAAAATAACTCACTCAAACTGACATAATGTAATGCATCTACGACCAACATAGCACATTATTAAGCAAAAAGCATTAAACCGAGAGTAGCAGAACAAAACCATAAGAATTTCCCAATATATAACTCAATGTACCAACAACCCAATTCAACCCTCTTTCTTAACATCAAATTCGCCATTTTATTATATCACATTACCAAAAATATGAGCAAAGAAATAACAAATAAGGCACAAATTGTTAAACCTAAAGCTTAGTTTATCAAAGAAACAGCATACATTCTAATAATCACTAACAGTAGCACATAACATTAATTAAGCTTATAAAAGCAGAATTAACAAAAACAATAACAAGATTAAAAGTTTAATTATATTAACCAAATTCAACTTTGATTATCAATGAATCAACAATTAACAAAATATAATAAAAAAAAAACTCATGTATTCCTACGTAATTAACAATTATAGCCCAAAAATTGAAAATGAAAAATTAGAATAGGAAAAACAATACCTTTCGCAGGGGGTGCCATCTCTGCTGAAATTGAAGCCCTAAATCTACGAGAGGGAGAACCTGAGGAGAGAGAATGGAATCCGGCGTTGTAAGGCAAGTAGGGTTTATGTAAGTGAGCTGAGTTTTTTATTATTTGAGTCTTACAAATCTTACGGGCTCATCTCGTTTGTAGACTGGTTGTTTCTATTGGGCTGGCCTACTCGATTGTTGTCTAGGAACACAGTCCCTTCCCTCCCTATCCCTTATTACGTTTTTTCACGGTCTTTAAAAGCATGTTTTAAAACCGTCATACATATGCCTATTTATCTTCAAAATTATAAAAACATGATATTAATAAATTATGTAATGAGACGATTATGATAGAAATATTATTTGCATATTACAAATAGGGTGATTAGAAGAGAAGAGAGAAGGAAATCGGTGGGAGTATAAAATGACCAAGTAAGCAGATTCGTAGTTGAAGTATGAGGTGTTCTCATTGGAATTCCACGGGGTGCTCCATTTCCTTTTTTTAACTACTTAATTCCTAAAATATAGTCCTTATACCATTTTATTTGTCAGCATTTTTTCCATGTAATCATCAACATTAAAGTTCAGTTCAATTCAGCTCAAATGAGTTCATTCCACTATTCCAGTTCAGTTCAGCTCCTAATTTCCCTCTCTCCTAAAATATTCATTTCAGCTCAGTTCAGTTTAGTTCAGCTCAGCTCAGTTCAGTAAATGTGAACATACCCTAAATGTTAAAGTCCATAAACTATGGATGACTAAGCAAATGATGTCCCTAAACTATTAATGACAAAGTTTTCAAGGCTTCTAAACTATTATTGACAAAGCTTTCAAAGTCTCTAAACTAATGTTGACTAAGCTTTTAAGGTCCCTAAACTATTGTTGACAAAGTTTAATCGCTTGAAAACTCCTTCATTGAAAATTGAAGGATCAAAATTAAACATTTAATAGATAAATGATCAAAAGTGCACAAATATACTCTGTAATAGATTAAGGATTGTGTTTGCACTCAAATATACTTAGCCGAAACTGAAAGTACAAGGCATCATATGTAGCCAATGTGTATCGAGTAATTTTCTTAAATAGGGACGGTAATTAAAAGATAAAAGTACAACTTAAACTAGGTACATTAAAAATTACTGAAAATAAAGGCACATCTAAAATTCTAAACCCCTCGAATTTTAGAACAGAGTTGAACACAGTTGTTCTTTCACAAAGCATCAGGGAAGAGAGAGAAAGATGAATGCTCCTGATCGATACGAGAGATTCGTCGTTCCTGAAGGCGTTAAGAAGTAATTTTCCCTACTTCATTTTTTGTTCCCTTTGTTTTTTCATTCATAATCACAATTTATTTCTTAATAATTTGATAACTGTTGTTAATTGTGGTGATTCTTCTTGTTTTAGGGTTTCGTATGAGAGAGATACGAAGATCATCAATGCCGCCTCTTTTACCATTGAGAGAGAAGATCACACCATTGGCAACATCCTCCGCATGTAATTCATTAATTAATTAATCTCCCAATAATCTGACAATAATTCATTCCAAAATTTTAATTTCTAAAACCCTAAATTGATCGATTTTGCTGATTGAAATTGTTATGGTATAGGCAATTGCACAGAGACCCAAATGTCCTTTTTGCCGGCTACAAGCTTCCACACCCTCTTCAGTACAAAATTCTTGTTAGGGTTAGTTTTTTCTATTAACTACTAAATATTATTATTTATGTTTTCTGCATTTGTAATTGTAATTTGGAGCTTGAATTTGAAAAATGTGGATGATTTAACTTGTTCTATGATGTTATTATTAAGTAATTTAGCACTTGTAGTATATTTTAGTGAATGGTTTCAGGCTAATGATTTATGTGTAATGTGAGAGCTGAGGTAAATATGAGATATTTGAAGGAAATTTTGATTAAAGGAGAATTTATGAGCTCATGTACAATATGTGGATTTTTTTCCCAGGAGATTTACTCGGCAACCCTCGGGGTTGTCAAAGAGCAGAATTTGTGTTTGGCTCTGAGAATTAGAGCAGTGGAAGTATTAGGGTTGACCGCTTGCCCCATAAGATAAATGATATTTGAGAATGCTTTGCGAGGTTAATTTCTTATTATCGAGTTTATCGACAAGGCTTTTTTTTCCCTTAACAATCAGTTTGAGATGTTTCTCTCATGGAAACTTTAATCAATTAAGCCTTGTTGTTAGAATTGTTTTCCTATCTCGTACGCCTTGAAACTATGTTCCTCCTTTTATGTCTCTGGTTTATTTTAAGACTAAATCTTGCGTTACATGCCTTTTAGAGTGCTAGGTTTATGCTAGTCTCTGTTATTATGAATTGGTGAAAGGGTGTTAACCTCATCACATCTCTTCTCAATACCCTTAGTCTATTAATAATAATAAGATGGATGATGCTGCTATGCTTCTATTTTCTGAGTTTCTGCAGAAGTTGGTAGTTCTCACAGTTTATTAATCCTACTTTTGTATATTACTTTTTTATATCTGATTAGCTAAGGACTTGAAAGGCCATTTATTTCATTAGTGGTGACTAAGCTTTAGATTACATCTTATTGTGAATTGATATCTGAATATTCTTGAGCCCCTTACATGTCTCATGCATTGTTAAATGGATTGTTTTATCTGCGCAGATTCACACTACAAGCCAGTCTTCACCAACACAGGCATACAACCAAGCGATCAATGACCTAGACAAGGAACTTGACTGTTTGAAAGGTGCATTTGAGGTGAGAAAGTCACGTGTACTCTATTTTAATAATCTATGTTCATAAACATATGCACTGTTGATTTTTTATATAAGGTTTTGTAACAGCTTATTGAATATTGATATCTTTGGAGGATTGCAAATGGATTATAAGGATGAGCTGCCTAATTGACTTGTGTTTCTACTTTCTAGAGTGTTATTTATCTCAAAGACACATTATCTTGTTCAGTATCAATATCTTCTAGGCAACAACGGATTTAGATTGTTGTGCTGTTGGAAATTACTCAATGCTAATGATCTAAAATGTATATTTGCATTTTGTAGGCTGAGATGGCAAGGTTTGCAAGTGATTATTGATCCAAGACAGGGGTTGGGTGATGCTATGTTTGATGTGTCAATGGATATCCGAAGAAATGTAGTATAGTGATTTGTATCTAGTTGGATTGTTTAGATTTTGTGGGTTTAGACTTGAATATTTTAGCTAGCTTGTCAAAATCCCAATTGCTGTAGCTAGGGAGATCCCACTTTTGGGTGCAGCCTCTGTTCTCCTATTAACAGATGCTATTTGCTGGTTCACTGGTAAATCATTCCCTTGTGATGTTCAGCGACTAACCATTTGATTTATAAGTAATCAAATGAACCCTACTTAACCATCATGTTATCCTAAACTTGGTAAGCGTTTATAAACGTATTAACTAATTCGTTTATACTAGTTTTCTGTTCAAATTGCACAGTTAAATGGGTCCGAACTCTTGTTTGTAGCCACCCTCTTTCTAGTTTGAGTAGATTGGGTGATTTGAGTTCTCATGTGAATGAAAATTTTGAAGTTCAATGGCATGAAAACCATCTAATTACAAAGGGAAAGTCTCAGCTAAAGACTAATTCAATTAAAAAACCGCCTTTTGAATTGCAACATATTCATGTTGAGTAAAGCAATAAACTAAAATTATATACCACTGATGATTTTGATTGTTGGGCCTTGGACTCACTTCGATTATGAACAAAAAGCGAAGTGTTCAATAATCATACTGATGTCTGAAATGAAGAGTATTTGAGGTGAAATGAAGAGTTCATGTTCAACTAAAACTCAAAATATTAAGTTTAAGTTAGAGTTAGCAAAAAGTTATTTATCAATGAGCACCCATTTCTGTACTCCTTTTTTATTTTATTTTTTGCTCCATTTAACCTTTTGCGGTCTTTAAGACACATCTTGAAACATATGGAATATATAATAAAAAACTTGATATTAATATAATGTACAATAAGACGAATCCAACATGAACCCACTTTAATATATAATTTCTATACATTAATGAGAATTTATGGTCAAAATTTTTAATGTTTGAACCAATTATTTGTAAAAAAAAAAAAAAAAAAAAAAAAAAAAAAAAAAAAAAACAGAAACTGAGTGAGTATAAGTTAAACTAAGCTAAGAAGTGAAATTAGTTTTCTAAAAAAACTTTGAATTTAACATACCCTTAATGAGTAATGACTCTATTTAATAAGTGTACGTAAGTAACTAAACGGACACGACGTTTTGTTAACAAACAATCTACGTGGGCAAAAACAAATAGAGACTGAAAGAGTATTTTGTAAATGTTAAGCGCTTGATCAAATTTGAAGTTTGAAAGGTGAGGGCAACCCCAAAGCGGCGGGAGCATCTTAAGTTCGTAACTCATTTCCCAGAAACAATTTCAGCAACTGATAATGGAGGTCCAAACTATTCGCAGGTAATCTCTCTCTCCTCTAATTATCCCCTTACTTTCAACGCTGATTTTCTCACTCATATTGTTTCATTTTGTAAATTCTCAGTCGAATTGATGAATTATCCACTTTCCTCTCAAATTCCGCTACCAATTCCGTAGTTTCCTCTTCAGATTTTGACACTGTTCTTCAAGATTGCGTTCAAGCTCTAGAGGTTTACTATCCTTCTTACTTTATTTTGATTTAGTAGTAATTTAATTTGTTATGATTCGAGCTATGATTAGCTTTCTGAATTTTTAATTTTTTTCTGTTAATATATGAAATTAATGCAGACCAATGTGAAAGAAATTGTCTCAGAGCATTCTGATGTTGGGTTTTTCAAAGATGAAGATTTGGGTTAGCACATTTCTAATTTTTATATTCTTGGGTGTTGTTATGCTGAATTCCCATTTCATTTTTCTGGAATGGGTTGTTGATTATGTGTTGATTTTGCAAGTTTTGCTCATTTTCGTAACATGAGAAGAATCAGTTATAACCTGTTGAAGTGCATTGTATTTTAAAAAAAACACTTGGAATTTATGAAATTTGAACAAGTTTAATTCCTTTGCTAGGGGAAATAAAGGGGTTTGGTTATTTGGAAAAGTGAGAAGTATGTCATAGTGACGCGTTTTAGGATGGATGTAGTGTCTTGTGTTTAGATGTGACGAAGATTGGTGAACCTATTAAACAAAGGATATCAATTGTAACAATAAATACTTCATTGAAGGCTTGAGGGCCGGGCAAGGCTACTAATATGAAGATATGAGCTGTATGGGTTATAATGATTGCAGAATTATTGAAATGAAATACTCAATAAAATGATATAATCGTTTTGCAATGATATAGAGGGATTGTAGATATGTCTACCAAATGCTTTCATGTGATTTTTACCTGAATCATACTTGCAGATGCTTACATGGATTCTTTGAGAGATGATCTTAGGACGACAGAGGCTGAAAGTGCGTCTCTATCCAATGAAATCGAGAGTCTTAAAAAATTGCACACGGAAGGTGGGCAACTGCATATATTTTTTGTCAATATTTTCATGATATAGGTACCAAACAGCTTGCTAATTGGTTTGGTTGTTTTAGGTACTTGTCAATTGGAAAGTAATATTGAGTCATTGCACCATCTCTTGGAGCATACTGGTTTGGAGGTGAGTTTTCAACAGTAATCACACAATTAGAAGGTCTACTGGTGCTGGTTAATGATTATTTGCCTGAAATACAGTTGTAGTGTTGTAATTTTAACAGTCGTATATCTTCAGCATTCAGCCTGAAATTTTAACAAGTTGAACTTGCTTATGAGTAATGGAATATCCTGATTCCAATGGTCTTGTAATAGAAATTTGTCTCTGGCTATGCCAACTCAAAGTGTTTGCTTATTGTCATATGGTTAAACATAGGGACTGGGGCTAGCAGAAACAGCAGAACATGATGATAAAATCAAATCTGGAGAGGGTCAACCTGAAGCAAAGGCACTTCATGAAGACTACCTCAAGGTTAACTTCTTTCATGACATAATATTATGGTGCTAGCCAGTTATGTTTGGCCTTGACCAATTTGATTTTCAGTGACTTGTGGAGGAAGTATATTCTCGATATATGCTGTGTGGACGTGTGGTACTGATTGATACCAACTATCGATGTGTATGTTTATTTTTTTGGCTTTTTATCTTCCAGGTTTTGAAGTTGAAACATCAAATTGAGATGAACAATGCGACATTGAAGTCCTTGGAGGATCTTGACCTCAACTTGAAAAGGTGGCTGGACAATTTTATATCCCATATAAAACAACTGCCTCACCTTTGTAGTACTCTTAGTCTACAGATTGTACAGATGGCAAAAAAAATCCCTGGCTTAAGGTTGTATTTGACTTGCATGGCTTGAACTTTGTCTTATCATCTCTCTTTTTTATTTTAGGATTGAGATAATTGAAAACATCGAGGAGGCATTAACTGGTTTGAAGGTGATAGACCTTGAAGGAAATATAATAAGGGTGTCACTGAAGACATACATTCCAGATGTTGAAGGTGAGATGTGTCGGCTGAATTCTGAAGATAATTTCAAGCAGTGTGAAGTGAACCATGAGTTACTAGTAGAGGTCATTGACGGGACTATGGATCTTAAAAATGTAGAGGTAAAACTTAATGAACTATTTCATAATTTCATTTCAGGTAGCTCTGGTGAAATCATTCTCCTTGCTTATAACATTGATAAAACTTCAATATATTTATGGGCTTGGTGCAGTTCTAATCACAAAATTGTCTTTCAAAGAATGTTATGCTGGTGTCATTTGTTACTATATGCCAGTTTGTCCATATAATTGGTATTATGTATCTATAAGTAGAAAAACTATGTTGTGTCAGGATTTACAGGCCTGTGTTTCCACCTGGCTCGCATCTTGGATATTAGGACCTGGTCCACCTTGTTTTGAACATGCGCCTTTTGAGATCATTAATGGTTACTTTATTTAGCAACATGCCTTCTTTCCTGGGATCCTTTCTACCTACATAAGTTGCATGGTTTTTGTTTGGACAGCTGATGTGGATAATTAAACATCATAGATGAATCACTAATTCAAAATTCAAATATAATTGTAAATTTATCAGTTTTTGCAACTTGAGAATTGAGATTGGGCCTTGCTTTAGCTACGTGATATCTTTCTATCTTTTAGTTGGGAGAGAGAGAGAGAGAGGGGGGGGGGGGGGTTGTTGGATTTGTGCTACTGGTTTATTCATACATTTCAGACAATGTATGCTGGTTTTTGGAAATTTAGTAGCCTATGATGTTATGCTAGTTTACTTTAATGGCATTTCATATTTCTAAGAATAGAATTAATAAATTTATTGCTAGTGCCTTCATAGGAACTTGTTTGTTTTTCTTGCTTTGCTATGGTCTCGTGTATGGATATTTTTATTTTATTTTATTGTTGGTTAAATCTTACGGATTTTTCACCATATATCACTGAGTTAAAGCTTAATTCACCATATACCATCGAAAACTTTCTAAATCTTAAATGTTGTTGGACTCCACAGGCTTACTGTATCCTTTTTTTCTTTCTTTCTTTTTTCTTTTTAATAAAAATCAATCTCCTCATCCCCCTCCCCCTCCCACCCTGACCTGACAAAAAGTTGAACTGAATCAATGAGGGTTCTGAGAAGAGGGAAGGCTGCATTTCTTATTATGTTACAATTACAGGTGCTTAACATATATGCCTGATAGGGAAAAACTGCCTTTCTCTTGATATGTCCTATTTCAAACTTTGTTTATGCATAACAAACCTGGTAAAAGCAGATGTGAGTCTTCCATTTGATTAATATGTTTAACTTGTCTTATGCATTCCCTTCATTTTCTTCTTTTCTATATTTATGCCATGCCGCCATGGCTTGTCTTTGGAATGGTTTGACTCATGCTTTATTGGTGTATTTCAAAATCAATTCCTTTCAGATGTACTGTATCCTTTTCTTTGAGGGCAGATGTACTGTATCCTTGTGAAGTTGAGAAGCTAAATTAAATGCTGGATTCTTTAAATTACTTATAATTTACTATGTTGTCTGATGTCTGCAGATTTTTCCAAATGATGTTTACATAGGGGAGATTGCTGAAGCTGCAAACACCTTCAGGTTTGTCAATAATATTACCTATCCAACTGCATCTCTCAAGTATTTCCAATTTCTTATGACTTTTGAGAGAAGCTACTTAGAAATTTGAACCCTTATATTCACCAAAATGAGTATGCGCTCCATGAGTGATGATATCAAATTTTCTTCCTTTGTCTTGTCCCAGTTAACCTTTATACAACCTTTATACTTTTTCTTGTTATTTTGACTCATAATTCTAATTTTAGATAATGCTTTCCGCAAGTTGAAGTACTTATTTACCTTTATTAGAGTTATCTCTTGATGGTAAATTGGATAATTTTGTTTCTATTATTGTAGAAGACATCAAAAGATATTAATCATGGGATAAGGAATAATAAACAAAGTTTGCAGATACTGCTGAAAATGACACTAAAGGATATTACAACCTATCCCTGGTAAACTGGTTAAGGATATCTATGATAAATCTGTGCACAATTGCACATAACCAATTTTCTTTCTAAAATTAAATTCATAGTTTCTGTCATAATGCAACGTGGATGTATGAGTAACTTGAATTTCTTACTCCATATTTTGCAATTTACTTGACATGTTTTCTTGCATTGTGCCAGCAAATTATTTACTGTGTTGTCAGTACCCCAGACAAGGTCTTCCTTGGGATGGTTTTTGCAGAAAGTCCAAGACAGAATCGTCATTTGCACTTTAAGACGGTTTATGGTGAAGATTGCTAATAAGTCCAGGTGATTTTTACTTAACAAGTTTTCCTGCACCTCTACATGCCTAAAATAATAATTGTTGTGTATTATCGGTATCATTCAAATAAAAGCAGGTACTTCACTCATTCTAATTTAACAAGTAAACTACACCTGATAAGTAAACCAGGCAGGTGTAATTTTCCTGTTATCTAATCATCAGCAAAAGATAGAAATATAAACTTCAGAAATATTGGGATCACCTTATTTTCTGATTGTTGTAGCTTTGTTCACTATGGCTGTCAACTGTCAAGGGAGTTTGTGATCACCTGCTTCATGGTTCAGAACATAAGCTTGACCTAAATGTGTCATAAGCTTTCATGAATGCTCTGTTTCTATGTAGGGGTGGATACTAGCTGTTTACCATGAGATATTTCCGGTCTTTTTTTTTATATTTTGTAGAAAAAGGGGAACCAAGGACAGTAAGTGTGAGAAAATCTGAAGCAGGATAGTCAATGTAGAAATGAGAAAGGAAAAGAGCATATCAAAGGATATATAGATATGGTTCTTCCTAGTGATGTTCTCTAACTTCAAAGTCAGAAAAGGATGGACAGGGCCGAGTAACACCCCCCCTCTTCTTAGTCAAGATAGATGAGCCCTGAAGTCCTTAACCATTAACAAAGTTAATCTTTAATTGCAAAATCCTTTACATTTTTCAGAACCAATAACAACAAAGCCTTAGTCCCATATAGAATATGATAAAAATAGTTATGAAACAATCCAAGGAATAGATGAAAAATAAACTGAAATTCACTCTGAGAATCTGCTGCTATGATTAATTGAAAGTGAAACTTGAAAGACAGAGAGTACATTAGCTAAGGTATTCAAATCTTTGGCCTATAGAAATGATAAATCTCTAAACTTCTGACTCACCTTCATTGCTAGAAAAGAAGAGAAAATTGAAAGGAGACATCAAGAGCAATAGGGCATTCAGCAGTAGTTGATAATGATCGAGCTTATGTTTGCTGCCTAACACAAGGAAATGTCATGGAAATGCATTCACCTGATGTCTAATACTTTGATATCTGGCTCAAAGTCACCTTTGCTTCTTGTAGTCACAATCTGGCTTGAAGTCATGTTGGTGTAAAGCAAAAAATTAAATGTCAATGTATATACCCTTTTTGATGATTGAAGAGCCTTGTTTAGAGGGTAAAATGGTTAAACTGTGACCTAGAAGGTTAAAATTTCGTAATATACATATTAGCAGATCATGAATCATACCAATTGTAGAAATGTTGCACCCAGTTGTATCAAATGTTTCTTATTTACGTTTCTTCTATTTGCCTGTTGCAGGCATTCATTTGAGTATTTGGACAAGGACGAGTTAATCGTTGCTCACATGAATGGTGGGATAGACGCCTTTATAAAGCCTTCTCAGGGTTGGCCACTATCAATTTCCCCACTTAAACTAATCTCTTTCCGGAGTACTAATCAGAATGCAGAAGATATTTCTTTGAGTTTGTTTTCTAAAGTTGAGGTAATTAGTTTTTTTACTCAGTTTCTATTATTCCTATCTCCTAGAATGAGTCTTGGTATGTGTATTGAAGCAAAAGTTTTTGGCGTTACTATCATTGAAAGTTACCTGATTGATACCTCAGGAAGTGTAGCATACCCTAGAACTGCAAGTGAGACTATAACTTAGGGTGGTAGGATAATCTATTTTGCATTTGAATCACTTAACCTAAGATACTTCTGCATGTTTTTTTTAAGCACAATGATAAATCATGTTACTATGCATGTTTAGATGTAATAATAAGGATAAATTGACAAAAAAAGTTTGGTTACAAAAAAAGCTTTTATGTTTATATAAAATTACCACTTATGGGATTAAGGCTTTGATTGATTGATAAGAGGAAAAAAAAAAACAGTAATAATAAAAAATGTTTCCATAAAATTTCACACTTTTTGTGCTGCAGGAGGTGGCAAATTCATTTGATTTAACTATACGGAAAAGCATAACAAGTTTTGTGGATGGCATTGAAGAGATAATTATGGAGAAAATACGCCTAGAACCTCACCTTTAATATACTATCATGAATACCATGGCCCTTGGAATCCAGTCGTCCACCACTACGTTAATGGGTAAGACTGACCTTTTCCAAGTTTCAGCCTTGCAAGTTGCAAAATTCTTGTTTAAAGTCATCCATGAAGCCCTGAAGTTTCTTTCAGATGACGATTATAGCTATTCTGCCCTTAGACAAGCACTGTGTTCTGACTGGTTTCCCGCACTGTCTAAGTATAAGCAGGTTATGTTCAGTACGTAGTTGTATGGCTTATATCAATTTGTTTATGAATGTATGTTTTTTGTAGAAGCAAGATGGGGATTTGAGGTGATTCCTTCAAAATGCAGACAGGATCGTTCAGATGCTGAGTAATGCACTCAGGAGCTGGGATGGTTTTGATCATCTCAATCTCAGTTTATTGAATATGGTTTAGTATGTAGAAGAATGTATATTCTATAACAGGCTGTAATTTGTAGGTCAGTTCACACATGCATTATAGTACTCTTATCTATGCTTGAATGATGAACATTTTATGAAGTTAAGCAAGCACGTTGAAGCCATGTTCTATGTTTTTATGGAATAGCTTGGGTCACTTGAGACTCTGCTATACATTTCTTTTGAAGTTCAAATCCAAGTAGCTAATTGTTGCGTTGATTTGAAAATGCAAAATGCTGGATCAGAAAAATGCTTAATGATACTTTATGAAGTGCTGCGAGTTGTTTCCTTGTATGTTGTCAACACCTTTTCTTTGATGTTGGTACATTTCTGATATTGGCATCAACTTAGATGTATTACTTTCTTCTTAATGGCTGAATGTAGCCCCTATCGTAGTATCGTGTACAAATTTAGTCAACAACAATCCTCAATTGTTTGTCTCAATATACAATTTCTTCGCTCATGATTTGATAGACTGGTAAAAAAAAAAAAAAAAAAATAAAAAATTAATAGACTGGTTCTTAAGATTGGAGCTAGTAATTCAAAAAATGTGTTTGGCTCTTGTTTAGTTTCGGTTTGATTATGAGTTGTGCTCAGTGAGCAATATCAAAGATATATGAAGTTTAACACAAAGGCAAAAGAAATGGGTCTAATTTGGTTGATTGGGTTTGGTCAATAGCTGAGGAAACACTTGCTGCTTTTAGTATTGAAAGTTTAAAGCATGACATACTGAAAATAGCTGTAGTAGCAGTACAAAACTACACTCTCCCAGGGGTTAGACTGGTTAGTGTATAGTAAAAGCTTTATTGTTATCAATATACTAAGAAAACTTGCAGAGAAATTTCTGTCAAAAGCAAAACACAGAAATTTTCGCATGAAACACAGAAAACAATCAAGCAACTAATGCATCCGGGACTAGCTAATATAATATGGCAACCCTTTACCTATTAACAAGATAAGTTGCAAGAAATAGTACTTTGGTAAATGAGGATAAACTCAAGTTACAAAAGAAAGGTATTCTTCAAACATTACAACCTCAAACAGCAAACAGAACAAAACTCTACTTATGCAAAGAGGAAAGACATCCACTAATCCAGAAGCAAATTCCGCTACAGTACAAAACCAACGAGATAGATTCGCTATATAACCCAAATTTGCTAAGAGCATTGAATGAAAGGTGATTCTAGAAATTACACATAAAGTATAACTACGATATTCTCCCATAAACTACTAAGTTGCACTATAGAGAATGACAACACAGAAACATGACAAGCTCAAGTAGAATTCAATTATGGGATCATTACGTTATACTTCGTATATCTTATTGGCAAATCCAGCAATTCTATAAAATTATTTTGTAAAAAATTGAAACGTATCATAGGTGATAGCAAGTCATTGCTCCAAAGACAATTACATATTAATAAACCAACTAATTACATTTTGCATCCAAATATTAAAACAAACAAACTAGAACAGTAAAAACATGAAGAGATCAACACAAAGCTATAGCAACTAAAAAAAGACATAACTTCAGCGAAAGACCTTAATAGTTGGTTATTCTCATGTTCCACATAAATCAACAAGTTTGGGCATCTGAGAAATTCAATCATACCATTACTAATATAAGAAAGGTGACAACTATTTTTAGGACATCCAAAATAGTATATGCAGCTATTGTGTCTGAGTAAAGGGTGTGTTTGCCTTGTATAGCGGACCAACAAAAGAGATCACACAATTGTTTGACGCTTTCCCTTTCCAGTATGTATTTCACAGGTTTTGTATATACTATTCCTTATTTACTGTTCTTGTTTTATAAAAACAAGGACAGAGATTGGAGAAAAATAAAGTGTATATACTTTGAGTTTGTCAGTTAATATAACAAAGAATGAAAAAAGGAAACAAGAAAATTTATTTCCATCTTAACTGAGAATTCATAAAGACAAATCAATTTACAATGTTACAGCCGAATTCTCTTACTCTACATTTTGCCATGGCAAATATCCCCGCATATATGAAATGTATCTGCCCTGGACTACAGCTGCAAAAAGGGGCAGAAGAATCAGGATCATCAATCGACTATAAATTGATCATCTTGATTGTCTCCTTCAACCCTAGTATCATCATGAACCATGCCGTTCACATGGTGCATATTAGGCATCACTTGTGACAGATAATGACTGCTCGTTCCTGCATGATCAGAGAGCCCACTAGGATGGCCTGACCACTGTGAAACAATTGTGAGCAACTGAGTTGTGAGATTTTGTTGTTCATGCAGTATCCGGGACTGAATCTGGCCCATTTCAGCTCGATGCTGATTCAACATGTCATCCATCCTTTTTTTCCATTCAGACCTCCTCAAAGTCATCCTCTCTTCCCATTCCCTCTCCTGAATCAACAGCTCCTCTCTTCTTCTGCTCTCCCTTTCTTCACATTCCTTTTCCATGGCTTCCCATTCTTCTAATGTTTGCTTCCTCAGCTCCTCCATATTCTTCTCCCTCTTTGCCCTTTCTCTATCCCTCTCTTGCCACATCTTTTCCCTTTCTCTCTCACGCTCTACAAGCAAATTTTCCTTCCTTTGCCTCTCTCGATCCCTTTCTATCTCCTTTTGGTCAAAACGCATTTCCATTTCCCTCAATTGTCCCAATTGATTTGCTAAGAAACTCCAAGCCTTCTTCTCAAACCCCTTAATTACCTTCTTCTTCTTTCTCAACCCCACACCATTAGCCTCAACCTCTTCATATGCTAACTCTTCATCACCATCATTCTTTAAACGGTTACTACTATTGTTAATATTCTCTTCTCCTTCCTCCCCATCATACTCAAAACCAAGACTCAAGACCCCGTCTTCCCCACCATCAATCCCCGCGGCAAAATCCTCCTCTCCTGAATGACCTAAATGGCCAAACTCCATCATATGACTACTCCCACAAAACCCTCCACCATTCTCATCATTATTAACCGTTCCCAACATAGAGTCATCATGATTACTACTAAAAACAAGAGGCACATCCCCAAATACCTCCTTGTACCTTAGAAAATTTGACCAATGTGAAACACCATCATCCCAATCAAATTCCTCCAAATTGCACCCCAAAGGCGAATCCGAATCCGGCTTCTTAATCTTTTGCTTAACCAGCAAATACTGATGCCTCATGTTTTGCACCTTGGTGGACACATCTTTCCATGTCCATTGCCATGGAAATGCAATTGGGTCCCTATCATGGTGCATTGAGTTCACATAAAAAGCAATGGGTCTAAATTTTTTCTCCCTAGTTTTCATCTTTCCCAAATTCCCATTTAAGATCAGCTCTCCATATCTATCAATTAGTGTTTTTTCCTCAGTCTCACTCCATTTTTTTCTCTTTAATGGAGTAGGAATCATAATTCATGTAATAATTTTATGTTGCTCTCAAAAATCAATCACTACCCATTACTCAAATCAATGTTTAAAGGCAAAATTATTCAACTAAACTTTGATGATTGCAGAAAATAACACATGCCCAGATGAAAATAAACACTTGATTTGAACAAGATCATCAGAGTAAAATTACTAACCTTCAAATTTAGGATAGTGAATCTTCAAACTGAGGGAAGGAGTTAATATGAAGTTGGAATACAACAAAGATAGCGCAGAAAAAATTGAGAAAAAGATTTGGAATTTATATGAGGTCACCGGAAAAGAGATGATTGTCGGAATCTTACATCTTTAATGTTCAAAGTGCAGGGGATATAGCCGTATAGGAAAGAGGAGAGAGAAATTTCCCCAAAATAATGAAAATAGAGTTAATTTATTTTTAATTTATTTTTCGGATATTTCACCAAATGCCACTGATAAATTTAAAAATTCATCAAATGTCATCGCACTTTTCAGAATTCACCAAATGCCACTCAGTTTTTTAAAAATTCACCGAGTGCTATTAATGACCAACGGCCGTTAACTCCGTTAGTCATTAGGGGTTATCATGACACATGTCATGATATTATTGGTCCATTTATCTTTATTAATAAAAATTAAAAAAAAAACTGAAAATATAAAATAAAAAAAAAAATCAGAAAATTAAAAAAAAAACCCAAAATTATTTCAAAAACCCCGACCAGCCAAAACCCCCATCAGCCACAACCACCCTCCCCGCCGTCGTTCCCGCCGTCCCATCTACTGGATTATGTTGTCCCACAGCACCGACGCCGCCCAAGAAGCTCTCCCGCTGCGCCGACCACCTAGAAGATCCCTCGCAGCGCCGACATCGTTCCTCCCCCTCCCCCTCCCACGAAACTCCCTCCCCACCAGCACGAAACTCCCTCCCCACCGCCACGAAACCCAGTCCTCAACCTTCAAAATCCTTTCTCTGTCCCGATCCCAGCCCCCTTCCCTTCCCCAATCCCTTTTCCGGCTACCTCCCCTTCCCCACGCTCCGATTTCGACCCTTATCCCCTTCTAACTTGGCGATTTTGGCCCTCCTCCTCTTCACAACCTTGATTTCGTTAATGGTTGTGGTGGGTAAACGGATAGGGGAGGGTTGGAAAGCAGCTCCGAGTTGGAGAATGGCGCGGCAAATCTGGCTGCTCTGGGCCTCGTCTGGCTGGTGGTAGGGGTGGCGAGGTGGTTGAGGTCACGGTGGGGCTAGGGTCTGGGGTTAATTTTAG